CCGAACTGAAGAAAAATGTCTTCCAGAATCTTGTTGGCTACGACCAGAGCGGTTTCTTTCTTTGTGGGAAAAGCTTCCACCCATCCTTCTGACAGGGTTCACACTCCAGAGTCACTCTCTCAGTCAGGGCGGTGAGGTTAGTATTCGGAACTGGGATTGGCGGGCAATTTCAGCCAATTTCTTTGCCCCCAAGTGAGTCCACTTATGCATCTGAGTTATTAATTTCTCAGCGTCTTCCTGTGGTAGAATGACCTTACCTTTGGAGTCAATCCATGCCCCCACACAGGTGTCAAATATCCCGTTTTTGCCGTATTAGCTTTAAGTCACTTTCTGAGTAGTTTAGTCGTTCTTCTCTGGGCAGCTCAGCAGTCAGTACCACTGGGACAGAGTTTCCTCTAGCGGCTGCTTTAGCCTCCTGGTCAGCCATGTTATTCCCCTTTGCTGCCCTGGAAGTTCCCTTCTGATGTCCTGGGCAATGAATAATGCTTACCTTGGCGGGCAGCAACAAGGCATTGAGCAAAGCCAGAATCTCAAGTCCTTTCGCCATCCCCGTTCCACTGCTAGAAGCTGCAAACAATCATGCTCTGGGGGCTGGATTTCTGGATCCGGCAATAAGGTGGATCAGCAAATCCTGGAATCCACAGCCAGCAAAACCCCGGTGTACCTGTTTCCTGTAGAGCTGGGCCTTTTTTGCCGACGCTCTGTAGCGGAGCTCACGCAGCTCTTGCAACAGCCAGTGGCTTCATAAGCTGGCCTGAGACCCCTGAGTCCAGGTCTTTCCATTCGAAAGCGAAAATGTAGACAAAAGAATCCTTAAGGTCCAGGACTGTATACCAAACCCTGAACGGGTTGGGCACGATAGGATTTAAGTCCGTGACCTGTTTTGTTAACTTTGCTCAAGTCCTGTATGGGTCGATAGTCGTTGCTCCTAGGCTTCCGAACTGGCAGCAATGGAGTATTCCAGGCAGATTGGCACCTTTTGAGCACCCCTAGGTCAAGGAGCCGCTGTGAGGGCGGATCCCGTCATGGGCTTCCTTAGACATCGGATATTGCCGCACCGCGATCGGGGTAGCCTGAGGCTTCGCTCTATCTGAACTGGGGGCTGTCTCTCTGCTTTTCCTAGGCCAGCCGTTTCAGCCCGTGCCCTGGGATGTCTCTCTAGCCACCAGTCAATGTCTTTTTCCAGACTTAGCACCTTTTCAAACAGCCGGTATCATCTTCCAGTTGAATCGTCAGCACCTGAATGGGATCCCCTTTATTGTCTGTTAGTTAGGATATCTCACCCTAACAGCGGGTACGGACATGTGGGGACAACTAAGAATGGGTGGGATACCCGGCCCCCTCCAAGGTCACCATTCTTCAGGTAGTCCATAAATATTGTTTACATCCAGTGGCTCCTTGGACCCACGATTTTTTCTCTTTTTTAGCTCCCAAGTCTTGTAACAGAACAGAATGCTGGGCGCCAGTGTCCACCAAGAAGTAGACCAGCTTTTTCTTCCTTTTGGGACAATCCTTGATCCAGTGTCCTTTCTCCTTGCAATAGGCACACTGATTCTTAGACAGAGGGCCCCTCCAATTGCTAGGAACTCTCTCCCTATCATTACGACTCTCCTGCACTACGGTGGCCAGGATCGTAGTCAACTTTCTGTCTTGCCTCTTATCCCTTTCTCTCGCTTCCTGCTCTTTCTGCTTTCTTTCCTCTTTCTCTTCTTCCATCTCCCAGCTGTAGAAAACCTTTTCTGCCACCTGCACTAAATCCTTCAACGACTTGTCCTGTAAACCCTCTATTTTCTGGAGTTTTCTAGCTGACTGGTCTATAAAGGTTATAGCCACCATTGCCTTATGCTCATCTGAGGTAGGGTCATAGGGCGTAAACCAGCGATAAGCCTCCATCAGCCGTTCAAGAAAGGCTGCGGAGGATTCATCCGGCCCCTGAACCATCTCTCTTACCTTTGTCAAATTGGTGAGCTTATCCAGCGGCCCCACGGAGACCCACCATTAGAGTCTGGCTAGACTTTCAGGTGCTCCCTACCTCCAGGTGTGTTGCAATCCCAGTTGGGGCAGGTGAGGGAAAAGCCATCCTCAATCTCATTAGGGAGGACGGAAGGCCTCCCGTCCGTTCCCGGCACATTCTTTCTCGCCTCAAGGAGAACCCGTCCCCGTTCCTCGGTAGTCAGGAGGGCCTGCAAGAGTTGCTGACAATCATCCCAACTGGGCTGGTGTGAGAATAGGACAGATTCAAACAAATCAGAGCTTGGGGATTTTCGGAAAAGGGGGTTATGGGCCTTCCACTTATTGATTTCCATCATCATCTGGTGGCACCCTGCTGCAGACCTGCTAGGGGATTAGTGGGGGGAAGGTCAAAAAGAAGTCACAGTCTATCCCATAATAAAGTCGTCCATCAAGAAAGTCAAAGAAGCAACAATGATAGAGACAGAGAACATGACAGGCAATTCAGATAAGGACGCCCTTACGGGTGGTACCACAGAATTCTGATTGAGAGGCTGCCGCACGGCGGCCATCTCCGATGAGAAACAGATGGGAGGAGGACCATCACAGACCTAGACTCCCCAGATGGAGAGGCTGCCTCCCGGCAGCCGACTCCTACAGATGGAATCTGGAGCGTCCTCTAGTTCCCAGATACAGAGTGGTATACCAGAAATCAGACTAGTTCTGAGCTCGACCTCCGAGCCCAGTCTGATGAGGGTTGGGAAGCGGCACACTGTTTGCTGGCCAATGCACCAAAAATATAAGACCTCATGAACTGTGGTGCTATTGTTAGTTTGGTTAGTTATCGGTTCCATGCCTGGTGTGACTAAACCCTTTTTCACATCTCTCCAAAAATAGTGTCACATGACAACTATATGGTGAGTTCAAAGGCAATCTGGGCATCCTGAGATCCTGTCTTGAAAATAATAGCAAAAAAATGGGCGGGATGGACTCTACTTGAGAAACGTTGTCTGACATTTTCTTCAGGGTGGGGATCAGAAGGAAGAACATGACTACAGAGCCACCCCGAGCTCTGTTTGAACACGTTAACTTTTACCAACCTACAGGGAGGTGTTGCAGGATATTTGACAGGACTGTGAACCCTGAGCTTGTGTTTATTGGGAAACACAATAAACTGTGTTTCCCGTTGTGGTGTGGCTCACCCCAGCACAAATACTTAATCCAAGAGCTTTCTGTTTGAATATTGTAAACAGGATTAAATAAATTCAACCACAGGTCAAGAGGTGGAGCAAGCCAACAGTTGACGGGGTGTGAACCTAAGAAAAAAAAATCAGAGAGTAAGAGGAAGTCAGGAGATGGATACAGAGACCCACAGGAAGTAGAAGGGAGGGAACTGAGTTTGAGGGCTTTTGAGATGGCCTGGAGGAGACTTTTTCTTTTCTTCGGGAATGTCAGCTAAGGAGGAAGGTCAGCTGGGCGCTTTCTCTGCCTCTCTGAGTTAGCAGGCTTCCACCCCAGCATCTGGCTCTCCAGTCTTCATTGGTAAATTTGAACACTGAGGGAGGTGAATGGACATTCAGCACTTCCAGGGGGAAGACGGAAGTTGAGGAGTGGTCATAGTGCTGCATTCCTGAGTTCAAGGCCAGCCTGGTCTACAGAGTGAGTTCTGGAACAGCCAGGGCTACACAGAGAAACCCTGTGTCTAGGTTAGGGTTTCTATTGCTGTGATGAAACACCATGACCAAAAAGCAAATTGGGAAGGATAGGGTTTATTCGGCTCACACTTCCAGATCATAGTCCATCACTGAGGGAAGCCAGGACAGAACTCAAGCAGGGCAGGAACCTGCAGGAGGAGCTAATGCAGAGGCCATGGAGGGTGCTGCCTTACTGACTTGCTTCCAGTGTTGCTGTTGTGGTAAATAAAGAGGAGATGGTGGCCTAAATAATGCTTGTTATTATCAGCCCTATAACTATCGTGGAGGTATTATTGAACCCGCTATCACAAATAATAAGACACAGACACTGTTAGATTTCATAATCTCCTTATTTACCTTGGGCTGAGCAAATAATCTACCTACACTGTCTCAGTAACCTCACCATCCATCTCCCCGCCCCCATCCAATGCCACCCGCCTTAATCATTCCTATCTGAGCTACCTCCCACCCATAATCTTATGAATACTTGCTTATATTTGGTGTTTTACCATCCATGCCACCCACGGAGTCCTTCCCCTAAGCTCACGTGGTATCCTCCTTTCTCCTTTCTTCCTGTCTGTTTTTCATGAGTCTCCTGTTAAAAGCTTGGGAACCTTAGCCACGCCCACCCCATTCTGCCCTGCCCAGGCATAGGCCTTTAATCAACCAATCAGGTATCACGTTCTAGGCAGGTTTACACCACAAGGAGGGAGCGCGAGAGAGGTTAAATAAGCCCCAATAAGATGATGTAGTTGCTGGCAGTGGCAGTCTGCACCTAGCACTTGGGGGGCAGAGGCAGGTAGATCTCTGTGAATTCTTCTTAAAACTGGTATAGACTGCAAGCAAAGTGGCTCCCAACTTGGGAGACTAAAGGAGGGGGACTGACATAAATTTCAGGCCAGCCTCGACGAGACGAAAATCCTATCTAAAAAGAAACTAAATACACACAAATTCCAGGCAGATGGTTGTACAAATCAAAGTCTAGGGCAGCCAGGTGCGGTGGGGGCACGCCTTTAATCCCAGCACTCTGGAGGCAGAGGCAGGTGGATCTCTGACTTTGAGGCCAGCCTGGTCTACAGTGAGTTCCAGGATAGCCAAGGCTACACAGAGAAGCCCTGTCTTGAAAAAACAACAAAACCAGATGGACATAGTCCTACATACTTGCAACCTCAACACTTGAGACACCAAGGCAAGAATGAAAATTATTTCAGGGCTAGCCTGGGCTACACACAAAGATCCTTTAAAAAAAAAAGTTGAAAAGGAACAGAGATGTTTGAGAAAACCCATCAAGGCCCACTAGAGTCATGACAGCCAAGAAAATAAATTATCCCAGACAAATGCAACAAGAAGTTTCTCTCGGTAGCAGTTTTATTTGACTCAGAGTGAGGCTCACGCTGTGGCCCAGACCTCTGACCACGGGGTCATTCTTGGACAGATTTGCTGTCCTGGGCTTCTTTATCCAACTGTTACAAGGACGGGAAAACTATGGGTCACACCTATGCATCAGGACAGGGAGAGGCGCAGCCACTGTGTCAGGGGAAGCTTGGGTAGGAGGGGAGGGGCTCCTTTCACATGCAGGGAGGGGCTGGCTGCCGAGCAGGGCTGGGGTTCAAGCTGGAGAGTGGGCTTCAGTCAGGGTCAGAGCTCTGCACGGGACTCAGTAGCTGTGAATGGAAGACTTGTCCACCTCGCTGTGCTGCTCCTTCTGGGACTCAGTCACCACCTGCTGGGGAACACGGACAAGGACATAACTCAGCACCTGCCCACCTGTCAAGGCTTGCTGAGGTTACAGCTTATACACTGCTGTTTTGTTTAGAGAAGGGTTTTTCTGTGTAGCCCGGGCTCTCCTGGAACTCGCTTTGCAGACCAGGCTGGCCTCGAACGCCTGCCTCTGCCTCTGCCTCATGCTGCGAGTAAAGGCGTGAGACACGAGGCTGTCCATTCATCTTCTATCTGGTGTCCTGCCTTGGCTCAGCAGGTAGAGTAAACTTGTGACACAAACCTTACAACCTGAGTTTGATCCCTGAGACTCATAACAAGGGAGAAAACTGACTCTGAAAATGCCTTCTGATCTCCACATGAGCACATGGCACACGCGCTCCCGCCCCCCCCAATCTAGCGTCCCTCCCAAGAGCCTTGTACCCTAAGATCTGAGCCGACTGGGGCTCAGAAACATTAGAAATGCTAGGGTCCCTCATCAAGGGCTTTGTCTCACCTCCCCATCCCGGGTCTCAATAGTCCGGATGAGAACCATCTTCCGGCTCTGGCTGTCCTGGAGAGGCTCCACCTCAGGCACTGGAGAGAGCAGGAGAAGGGACACGGAAGGGTTTGGGCTTCTCTGGTTTGGGGGCTCCCACCGCTGAAGCCAGGACCCTCGCTGCTTGAGGAGCGGGAGTCAGGGCGGGAGGCGTGGATGAGACACAGGCTGGAAACCCGACGTGGAGGACTCACCAGTCGTCTTCAAACTGAGCGAGGCGAAGGAATGAACGGGCACGGAGATCCTGCGGGCGGAGCACGGGGCCGGGTCAGCCCTCGGCTGGGCCCCCGCGCCTCCCCGCCCCGCCCGGCCGCCTCGGCGCTCACCGGCTCTCCTCGCCCTCCAGCAGCTTCCTGTAGGTGGCGATCTCGATGTCCAGGGCCATCTTGACGTTGAGCAGCTCCTGGTACTCGCGCAGGTGCCGCGCCATCTCCTCCTTGAGCTGTCGGAGCTCTTCCTCCAGCCGCGCCGCGCCCGCCTGGTAGCCTCCGGCCTCCAGGGCGAACTGCTCCTCCAGCTCCCGCAGCTGCCTGAGCAGCGCCTCGTTCTGGGGCGGAGGGGGGGAGCAGAGGGGGGAGGGGCGGTCGGAGGGGCCTTCAGCACCCACCCCGCGGCCCCGGGCGGCGTCGGGGTGCTCACCGTGCCCCGCAGCCCGTCCACCTCGCACGTGAGGCTCTGGATCTGCCGGCGGGACTCGTTCATCTCCTGCTTGGCCTGGCGGAGGGCCTCGTGGTTGCGGTTGGCGGCGTCCGACAGGTCGGCGTACTGCGGGGGGGGGGGGGGGGGGGAGGGGGGGGGGCGCACGGGCCCGGCTGGGACGCGCGCCGGCTCCGGGGCCTCCCCCACCCCGCCCACCCCTCCCCGGACCCCTCCCCCGCCCTCGCACTTTGGACTTGTACCACTCCTCCGCCTCCTGCAGGTTCTTGGCCGCGATGCTCTCGTACTGCGCGCGGATGTCCCTCAGCGCCGCCGTCAGCTCGGGCTTCACCGCCGCCTCCGCCTCCACCTGCTGCGCCTGCTGGCTCTCCACGCTCACCTGCAGGTCTCGGAGCTCCTGCGGGCCAGCGAAGGCGGGCTTGCGTGGGGGTGCGCGCCCGTGGCCCCGGCTTTCGGGGGGTCGACCGGGAGGGGGCCCTCGCGTGAACAGCAGGGGGCGCCGGAGAGGTCAGGGTGCGGCTGCCCCGCCCGCCGGCAGGTGGCGCGTGGGTGGGAGCCGCCGCACCTGCGCAGGGCGGGGCGTGTCGCCCCGGCCTTCCCCGACGCCCCGACCTACCTCTTCGTGGAGTTTCTTGAGGAACTCGATCTCGTCCATCAGAGACTCGATCTTGCGCTCTAGCTCCAGGCGGGACAGGGTGGCGTCGTCCACATCCTTTGTTGAGCGGGACGGGGGTGGGGGGAGAGGTCAGGAGAAAGGGGGCCCCTCAGGCAGGGGAAGGGCCAGGCCTTCCCGCCGCCGCCCCCCTGGGGGTGCAGCCGGGCCAGTGGGACGGACGTGGCCCCCCACCTCACCTTGCGGAAGAGCACCAGGTTGTGCTCCGCGTCCTCCCGCTTGCGAGTCTCCTCCTCCAACCTGACGGGCGGCATGGGAAGACGCCGGGCGGCGGGGTCACCCCCCCCCGGCCCTCGAGCCACACGCGGCACCCCGCCCCCTTCTGCTTTGCCCCGGGTCTAAAGCGCGGGGTGCAGCCTGCCCGTCTAACGGACCAGGCACGGAGGAGACTCCCCCTACTGCTCGGCCGCTTCCCGAGGGCGCTCAGAGCCGGGGCTGGGAGGGGAGGGGGAGGACCGCGAGGACGCCGCGGCCACGCCCTGGGGCTGCGGGACCCCGGGGCGGGAGGGAGGAGCCGAGCCCACGCCCGGGGGGCGCTCGGCCTCTGACCTCTGCTTGAGCGCCGCCAGGTCCTCCGCCAGCCCGTCGCGCTCCACCTGCACCCGGTCGCGCTCGCGGCCCAGCAGCTCCAGTTCGCGCCGCAGCTCGCGCAGCTCGCGCTGGCACAGCTGGTCGGCGCGCGCCGGCTCCTGGCCCCGGGCCTGGCTCAGCTCCCCGCGCAGGGCCGCGTTCTGCTGCTCCAGGAAGCGCACCTTCTCGATGAAGCTGGCGAAGCGGTCATTGAGCTCCTGCAGCTCCTGCTTCTCGTTGCTCCGGGTGGCCAGGAACTCCTGGTTGAGGGCTTCAGCCATGGAGAAGTCCAGGCGCTCCGAGGGCAGGCGCAGCGCCGCCGCCCGGGGGGCACGGAAGCTGCCCAGCCGCGCCGGGGGGCTCGGGGACGCGGAGCCCAGCAGGCGGCTGCTGGAGAAGCGGGAGCTGGAGTAGGAGAAAGCCCCGGGGGACAGCGAGGGCGGCGGCCCGAAGGCCCGGCGGTACGAGGTGGAGCCGAGGCTGGACCGGAGGCCGGACGAGTGATGGCTCATGGTGCCGGGAGATGGCATTCAGCGCGGGACAGAGCTAGGCCGAGCGGGAAGGAGCCGCAGGCCAATGCGGGCTGCTTTATAGCCCTGCGGTCTCAGGGGGGTGTGCTGGGGGGGGGGCACGGCGGCTCCTCCCACTGGCCTGACCACAGCCGGCCTGTGTGGGGAGGGGGCTGCCCCACCCCGCAGGGTGGCCATGCCACCCCGTCCCTCCCCTGGTCGCTGGCACTCCGCCTGCTTGATTCCCCCTTCTGGCTGGCAGGGATCAGGGACGTGGACAGAATGGAGGCGGATTAGGGGTCCGAGCCTTCTAGCATTCTAAGGTGGGACTTGACCTGGGGTGGCCCCTCAGAAGAGGAGGCAGAAATTAGGGACTGGGGGAGGGGGGCTGAGGTTAAAGCACAGGCTTTCGCAGTGAGGACAGGTGGGTGGAGGGAGAGCTGAGGCCGAGGCCGGGGAGTTTGTGCCTGTCTCCTGGAACTGGGGTTCTCCTTTCACCTGTTGCCAGCTCCCCCCATCACTGACCGCAGCCGAGGAAGAGGGGACAGGAGGGCTGAGGCAGGGGGGCCGGGATCGGCTTATCTCGCCTACTCCCCAGGGCCCAGCAAAGGTGGTTGGCGCCAGCTCTGCAGCTAATGGACGGACAGCTCCCCTCCCCCTGCCCTTGGCCCAGCAGAAGTTGCACGCTGATGTTTCCACCTTAAAGACACAGCACCCCCGGACTTGGATTAAACACCTGCCTCAACAAGGGTGGGCACCTCTTGGGGGGCTGAGGCTGCCCAGGCTTCTGAGGGTCTGTGCCAGGTTAGAGGCTAAGTGCCCCTTTACTGGATTCTCCCCGCTCCCCACCAACTGCCGCTCAGGCACAGGTCTTCCGGGAACCAGAGGGATTCCCGGAGTAGGGAGGGGAGGGGGCTGAGGGGTAGCAGCTGCCAGGGCTGAAAGCTAGCAGGCACCAGTCTCCAGTCCCGAGGAGGTGCAGGTGCCCAGAAATGGTGTGGATAAAGGAAGATGAGATGGGAAAGATGCTCACCCGCCATTGCCTCCAAGAGAGACAGAAGCCCTCCGGACAGACCCGCAAGCAGACGCCTTTCACTCGCTGAGCCATCTTGTAAACCCCACACACATGCATGTGCAGTGTGACCCATAAGCCTGAGTGCCCAGGCATTGCACAAGTACACACTGACGCCCCTCAACAGCGCCCCTGCCCCCACTTTGCCGGAAGGCTGCTGTCTGGCCTTTGTGAGTCGCACAACTTGCAGAATGCACACCAGGCGGTCCAGGAGTGGACAGGGCAGGGTGGCTGCTCTGGAGGAGGAAGGATGCTGAGGCCTTTCCCGTTTGCTGGGAGCCGTGTGTCTGCTGCCACTGGGGATTCTGGGACTCTTGAGCAGAGCCATCTACCTCAGATGGGTCCCGAGGAGAAGCCAGATGTGGGAGAAGCAGGCTTGGGGTTCTAGGTTGGATGCCTGACTGGGATAAGGAGGGCAGCTCCCTGCTGGCCATCTCCTTCATACTGCAGAGATGGGCCAGAGCCAACGCCCAGCCCCAGCAGGCGCTCCTCCCTGGCCTTCCTCTCCAGGCCCCTCCTTCTGGGCTATTAGTCTTTCCCGGCTCAGCTGCCAGGTCCTGCTCCTTGATGGATCTGGTTTGGTTGCTAGGGGAATGTGAGAGGGGAGGTCGGGAAGGAGGAGATGAGGTGAATAATGCAGGGCCTGCTCCACCCCAGTTCCCGGAGTGGAGGAGGCTACAGTCCCACAGGGGCTGCGGTGAGGGGAGGTTGTCTGGAGCCTTGGTGCCTTGGCACTTTCCGCCACAGACCTGGACTCCGAGCATTTGCTGCCATTGGTCTACAGCTCTATTCAACCCAGACCCCAAAGGCACAAGGTGAGCCCGACCCCCCCCCCCCGAGACAAGGCAACCAGAGGACCAGAACAAGCCTTGCATTGGGAGCTGGTGGCAGACCCCAGCCTTCAGAAGGGCAGAACAGGCAGGGGGCCCCTGGGCCCAGGGGGTTGCAGATGAAGTATCTGTTGACCTCTGCCCCTGTGTAAGCCTCGGGCTCACTACTCTGAGGCCTTGGAGAAGAGGGGACCGGAAGACCCCCAAGTAGGACCAGGGCCGTGCTAGGGAGGAGTAAGGAGCCAGCCTGTATGAGGGACACATACAGGCATATGAGGCAAGGCAAAGGCAGAGAAGGTTTCCTTCCTAGTGGCCCAGAGCCAGGCCTGGGAACTCACAGAGGACAAAGACAGATGAAAACAGTCCAGGGGAAGATTGCTCTAGCTGCTTCCTTCCCCAAAGTTTGCCTGCCCTGGGAATGCAGACTTGTTGGCCTTCTTTTTTCTCTCAGGAAGATGGGGACTACAGCCTAACGCACTGGCTCTCACCCTTCCTAATGCTGCCAGCCCTTTGAGCCAGAGATTATTTCATTGCTCCTTCATAACCGTAGTGTTGCTACTGTGATGAATAACCTGGCGGGTGACCCCTGGGGGTCGATAGCCTCTAGACTAAGTGAACAAGCGTCTTAGCACATACCCTGCAAGGGCTGAAGTAACCCGGCGTTTATTGGGGTTTGCTGCTGCTACTGCTCTCACGCCTCAGCCTCCAGGGCCTGGGAGGCTCTGGGCGAGGCTCTGGGCCTTTTTCGGAGTGTCCTCCCTGCTGACTGAGAGAAGTGTCAGTAGACTCAGCTGATGGCTGGAGGGGAAGGTGGGCTTGTCCTTCCTCAGTGTGGAGGGGCTCAGGACATGGCTGTTCAACCCAATGAGCAGGGCGCTTTGGCCTTTCTTGAAGGCTCCTCGGGTCCGCCCAATTTCCTTTACCCCTAAACGGGAAGGCCAATAACAGGCCTACTACATCCTATCACCAGGAGCACTGATGAGCTCCAGGAGGTAAGGCACTTCAGGCCTGGCCAGCGCTGTATGACTCTCCCTCTGCTCCCACGGTGCCCTGCAGGGTTAGGGGAAACCGCCGGATGCAAGCAAGGAGCTGCACAAAAGCCGGGCAGCTGGGCGCCGCCATGTACATCATCAGCAAGGGTGCCAGTCGGCTGCGCACCCAAAACTGGTTTAGGAGAGGTAGCGTGTGGGCAAGGGGCAGAGGGGAGTAGGTGAGTGAAGAGGGCGAAAGCTGGACTCCAGCCAGGCCAAAGAGTGGGCGGGGCGCACAGGAAATGGTGGCTAAGCCATCTCCAGACTGCGAACGTAATACCCGTAATACCCGGCTCTGTGATTCGGCTCAGCCTATAAGGATGGCAGGATCCCCAAGGTATTTGTGAGGATTCGGGAAGCCAAGGCTGAGGTGGGGTAAAGGGAGCGGTCCTGGCCGAGGTCGGCCACAGCCTGGATGCTCACCAGCTGCGTAACCCACCCTGAGTGACCATCTTCTCAGAGCTCCCGTTCCCTCCTCTGGACAACACAGCTGGTCTCCTGTGATGCTCACGGTAGGTGCTCAGCCATGTCTCTCACCTCTGCCACAGGACAGAGCACACACAGAAGAGCAGTGGCATAGGATATGTCTAATTCCTTGCAAACAAGTATTCCCTGGAGGCCTTTCTGGTCCAGGGTTGGAGCACACCTTCATTCCACGACTCCAAGATAGGCCAGTGCCCTTAACACTCCTTCCCTAGCTGCTCAGGCCCCTGGGCTCACACCTGAGGTCCCAGCTGCCGCTGGAGAGGGAGGAACATTTGAGCTCAGGAGTGGCCAAGTCAGCCTAGAAAGGTGGTTCCCCTCCCCTGGGTAGCCACTAAACGGGAGCCCCTAAATGCCTGCCTCACTGACACTTGGATCACCGTGCAGTCAACAGTCATGACACCCCTCAGCTCCCCTGGTCTCCTTCCCCATCACTGAGGTAGGAGCTGAGGCTACGCGGGACAGCAAGTCTGCAGTTGCAGAAGGAGCCTCCCTCCCTCGTCTGTGTTGGTGGGCACAGGAAGGACTTACAAGTTCGTGATGGGGTTCTAGGCTCTGGAACCTGAGACCACGGAGACCTCAGGTAGAAACGGGGTCCAGGATCCCACATTTCTTTCTTTTCTTTTTTTTCTCTTTCTTCTTCCTTCCTTTCATCCCTTTTTTTTTTTTTTTTTTTTTTTTTCCAAGACAAGGTTTTTCTGTGTAGCCCTGGCTTTTCTGAACTCACTTTGTTGCCCAGGTGGCCTCACAGAGATCCACCCGCCTCTGCCTCCCTGTGTTCTGGGATCACAGGTGTGCGCTGTGCCCGGCTCAGGGCCCCATTTCAAGGGCGTCTCCACCAGTCAGACGCAAGGTTCCCACCCTCCGAGGGCTGGGAGACTGGAATTCCTCCCCAGGTGCCTCTGCTCCAGAGCTCCACCCTCCAGCCAGGCTGCTCTTCTGGAGGAAGTGGGTGACAGACAGTCCCAGCACCCACAAAGGGGCTTGGAACCCTTTGTAATTGGTTCCGGAGGTTCCAACGCCCTCTTCTGGCTGCTGTACGCACTGCATGGGTGTGGTCCACAGACATACACGAAGGCAAAATACGCTAACGCAGAAAGTAAAAAATAAATAAAAATCTAAAAAAAAAAAAAATTAAAGGTGAACAGATTTGCTCAAAGCCACAGAGTATGGTTTAGGTCTGGCTGCCTCCTGCCTGAGACCCGCTGATCCTGAAAGCAGCTGTTGGCTTTTGCCCTTGTGTTTGGGTTGTCCAGCTTTGAACCTAGGCCAAAAATGTCTGTCAGGCATCTGAAATTCCCCCTTCCCCTCGTGCCTTTCCTCTCGACCAACTTTCTCATTTTTTTCTGAAAAAAAAAAAAAATAATAATAATATTGATAATAATTTTAAAAGGTTTTGCTGCCACCTACTGGTGAGAAGACAGAATGGCATGTCTACAGTCTGAGTGTGCTAATTGACTCAAAAGCCTTTGGGATCGTGGGATTTAGTATACTTCAAAATTATTCACCGTGCTCCTTTTCACAGATGATGAAAATTATACAAGGAGGAATTAAAAAAGTCTTAGCAGTTTTAGCCCTGGCTCCTTCTCCCTCCCCCAGGTTTCGGCAGCATCTGGCTGCCCCAC